AATTGTATATTAAACACGTATTTTATTCAAAATTTGGAGAAAATGTGTTACACTATAAAACTTATTATTTGTTTGACTGCTTTCAAACTTTTCGGCCGAGTTTCGCAAAGCAAATGATTCCAGTGTTCTTTGTCCGATCTACGCAAATATTGAATGTAGCAAAAATCCATCAAAATATGATACTCGCCCTCGAGCATGGATCCCTGAAATGTTTACTTTGGCATATAATATGCTGTAGTTTATGTCACCAGCCCGTCTCTATGCTATGCGATACAGTTGTTTGCTCAGTCACACCGGATTCGTGTTATAGCCTTTCGCGGGAGCTTATTTTCCATAACTATTTTGCATACGAAGCTAAAAGATGTCTTGGCAACTTTTGAAATCAAGCAAACAATTTTTTTTAATACTGTGATCTGAATACCAAAGAGGAAATAATTGGAAGAAAAAACATATTTACGTTTAAGATACAGTATGATTTTGTAACTACAGCCAAATTAATTATTCAATAATGATATTAGCTAATATTATAATTTATAAATTCTTTGAGAAAAACATTTTTAAAAGTGTTATTAACCATATTGTATTAACTTTGTTATTTAAGATTATTTCGTAAATACAGAATGATAATGATTTGCTATTTAATACAAATATTCATTAAATTATTATAGTTATTCAAAAAAATGTTTATTTTTTAAATCTGAACTAAACTTGTCTAATAATTAAGTAATAATAATTATGTAACCACCGAGATGAGTTAATAAAATCTATTTAGTAAGAGAATTTACACACAGTTTAAAACTTAATATTTTTAAACATTCTCATAATTTTTCATTCTAAAAAAATTATGAATAATTGCGACTCATAGTTGCATTAATTATGGAAACTTATTATTTTTTTGTGATAAGAGTTATTATTTCTGAAAATGCTGGAATTTTTTACAAATTAGGATTTTTTTATTTTAGAGAGATAAAAAAGTGTATGGAGAATAAATTCAACATGCCTATTAACAAAAAGGTATATTTCATATCAAATAAACTTTAGTCACGTGATTAGGCACTTTTACATATTTTTTTAATCAAAATATTTTAGTAAACAAAAATAAATTAATTATATAGATACAATATACACAGTTATTATTTACATCAAAAAATCTCACCTTCTTAACAGCACTTAAGGGACATAAAGGGCCATTATTACCGCTTTCCTGTTCAAAATATTCTAATAAAGTTGCGATGATTTTTTTACAGCTATTAAGCTATCGTACACTTCGCACTTATTTTTTTTAAAGGACAATATTCGACTGCAAGACCTGCTAGTAAACATTTTTAAGGTTAAGGTATCACAACCCTGGGCCCGAATTCTGTAACTTAGAAAACGCTAAGCGCTTTTAGACGCTCAGCGTATATGACGTTAATTTTTGCTGAGCGCGCACTTAACTAACGATTTGAGTATTTTCGTCTGATGTCTTAGTGTATGAAAACGAGAATACGGACCCTAAGCGCTTTGAAAACGGTTGCCTTAAAGGATCGTTTTGCTTGTCGAACTGTCAGTGAATATCGAAAAAATTGTGATTTCGTGCGTTATCTTGCTCTTTAGTGAAAACTACTACTTGTTCTATAAATTCCTAAATAAGTAATCGACAAATTACAAGTTGGTAGCTATAAATATTGTTGAAAACATCGAAAATGCTGAGAAGCGTCTTCAACATTTCCCTCGTATAATAAGAATAATGACATATCCATAGAAAAATAGGTTGACATAACTCAACAATAGGTTATAAAATTCACGTAACATTGACATTTTTCATTGTTATAGTCACATTTGACTATTAGATACCTGCGAAATTACGGTGCTGTCAATATGTGCTCAACGCGTATCCAGAAAACGATTCGCACAGCAACGAGAATACCAAAATCGACTGCCTTGCGTTTCGCTGATCGAATACATGCGCTCACCGCTTTGAAAGCGTAACGTTTTTATGTCAAAGTTACAGAATTCGGGCCCTGATCACAACACTATTTATTTAAACAAAAAACTCGTAAAATACAAAACTAAATTGTCAAAACGAATGACAATATCAGGAAATAAATAAATAAATGTGGCAACTTGCCATTTTTTACAGCAGAGCTACCACTTGAATCCCCAGCGCGAAATTCAAATTCCAGTTAGTCAGCCAGGCGCCGAATATGTCCATGGTTGGCAACAATGAATTTAAAAATCACGCTGTCGATTACGTAACTAAAGGTTTTTTAACTAAAAATTGATATCAAATACAGTTACGGCAATGTCATGTCATCGGTTTTATACCGAAAAGGCGTATCACAATTTTTGCTACTTTTCAGGAGAGCAATTTAAAGAAAAGCACTTACTTTATTTGGCCAATAATAATTGTGAAGTCTTTAGTTTTTTAATAGTATTTTTATTTTAACACTTAAACGGAGACCCTGAAGAAACGTTCTAAAGATAAATGAAGGGTAAATTCTAATAAACAATTTATTTTTATATATGCCTTTTGGTTGTAATACAATAATTTTATTACTGATTGAATAGTATACATACGCCTATCTAAAATAAACTTACAAATTATGATAAAGTGTTCTTAATAAGGAAAAATGATAATACAATATTCACTTTAGATAAATACCATAAAAAACTAGGAATCACCAAAATAAAAGAAACAAATATGTTTAAATATCTTTATTCGATTTGGATTAAATGAATTAAAAATAAAGGCTATGTCATTCTAGAGGCAAAAATTAGTTAATTGTCGCATTAATTTATAATAAAACATCTTCTGGTGATAGGTTTTTAATAGGTTCATTAGACTATATTTCTACTAGGTACATTATTTTGAAAAAAAAATTGAGAAAGTAACTTAAACATTCATAAAAATAGAAGTAATTACTGTTGTTCATTCTTCGTTATATTGTAAACATTGAAATAACTGGAAGCTAAACTTTCTACCTGCTTATATTTAGAGCCAGTGTCTCACGATCTTTTTTTACGATGGCCCTAATATGTTTACTCCTGAAGTCGATAAGGGCGCCATATCAGTAGAAAAAATAAACAGAACATCTCACTTTTTGTCGGTCGCGCGTACACAATGCTTTTTGTTTGTTGTGAATAGCAACTTCGCTTTTTAGTTAACTCTATATATTTTAACATTTCTGAAACAATATTCTCTAATTGGTAAAACGTAAAAAATCGTTAGATTTGACAACTCTGTTGAAACTGGTCGTTCATCTGGCCGCAGCTAAAAACGCAATACATCCGACCAGCCGACGGCCAGGTCGTTGCGACCTGGTCGTCAGTGAGTTCGAGCCCTTAAGTGCACGGAAAATGAACGGCCAAATTTCAATAGGCCTCATCAAAAATTTTGAAGAAAAGTTTCTATATATACAGGGTGATTCCTGTAAGTCGGTCATGCTTTCAGGGAATGACGGGGGGCGTCGAAATATTAATTTTGATATAGCACACTATGGGTCGGATGCCTCTTACGCAAAATACAGGGTGTTAAAGTTTTTGAATTTAGTTTAGAATGTGATGTTGAAAAAATTAGCTATCGTTTTAGGGTTACTGTTCTATAACTTTCACGAGTTACCCATAACAGCTGGTTGGGCATAAATAATTTGTGTGTTTTTTTTATCGCATAAGCAATATTACATCCGATGTAGTAAAATTGTTCCAAAACAATTCACCAAAGGAGAATTACCCGAAAACAATTGATCGAAAAGAAAATTAACCAAAAAAGATAGTTTCACGAAAAGAAAAATCATCAAATTATTGACAGAAATAAAAATTCTTCCCTAAAATGTTGATTTTTGTTGAAGATTGTCCTAATACAGGGTATTTACATAAAAACACAGTTCATTTAATAAAAACCAAACTAAACAAAGGGAAAACATGTCTCTTCAACCGTGCCTTTTTGATAAAAATAACTATGGAATAACAGTTTTTGTTTTCCCTGTTCACTGGTTAGAAAGTCGAATGACAATAACAATGATCTAACAATGATAATGAGCAGACAATTATTGTATTTTTCGGAGCAACTTTCTAGTTCGCTAAAATGGGGGTTAAAAATTGTGTGTATTAATGTATAATGTAAATGTGGGAAATTATAATTTCGGGCAATTTTCCATTAGGGCAATCTTCATTTCGGTGATTTACGGGATACGCAATACAGCTATATGCAGAATCTAACTCATTCCGATCATGGCTTGTAGCAAAAAATCAGCGACTTATTTGCTTATTTATTTTAAGTGGGTTGAATTAGCCGCACTGTAAAAAAGAGCTGCTGCCAGATAGAACTTTTATTTTGTCCCAAGCAATCATCAGAAAATAATTAGGCAGAATGTGTCATTTTCTCTCGCACGTATTTTCATAACTTAAAACAAAGGACCTATCTCAAATTCCATCTTTATTTTAGTATGATAACAATAGATATAACAAAGAGCCCTATCTCAACTTACGGTTCTTCGTCATAACGAAGAATTCTAGTATTTGAGATGGGGCAAATTCGCTATGTTAAAATATGACCCAAAGGGCATGTCATGACATTAATATCACAAACACGCATTGTGTGTATTAAATTTCTAATTATTTTCTTATGTTTCGCAACTGTAATAGTCATTGTTTTCTATAAATGCGACTGGGTTAGAATCCAACAGGCAACGACTTTCTCAGTGCTTTTTACTTATCATTTTCCTAACCAATTTTTCATTGTCTCTGTCGTCAGACCACAAAAAAATTCAAAGTATTTTTTTTAATATGGCTAATTTAATCCGCGCGGTATGTATACATAGTATATTGTTTAAAAGAAATAATTCGATCTAGCCGTATCATATTTATATATTCATTTAATTTCTAGTTTTACATTTTAAAAAATATTTGATTTGCATATTTGTATATTTGCATTTCTACCATTTCCGATCGAATAAAGTTCGTTTTATATGAAGCTGTCATCCCAATTTATCGTTGACACACACCTATCAACCACGTCATGTCTCACGTACGAAATATAAGCCAAGGAAAATATGTTTTTATCCTTTAATTTCATTTATAGGATACATTGCCAACAGATGTTACACTGTGGGTATTTTATCAGTTGTGGATACATTTCTTAAGAAAGAAACATTGATTTTCATGCACATTAGAATTCATATTTGGATAAATACTAACAAGGTCTATAATCTATTAATTTGTAACTAATATGTTTTGTTTTTACAATAAATATTCAGAACTTTCTGAGAAAAATCTTAAGGAAATTTTTTTCTCCTATTCTATAAATATGGAAAAGAAAATAAATAGAAAATATCTTTAGAAAAATGTCGGTCGAAAAACTAATTTTGTTTTTTTTTCGTTTCAGGTAAACATCTTCAAAGACCTAGGACAATTTTTTTAATGAATGAACAACCTCGAGCAGCTATAGAAATTTCAGCAAGGTAAATGAATATTTACTTTATCAAAAAAGATAAATATATACCGTACTTCAAAACGAGGAGATTAAAGATCGAGTAAATCATTTTTGATATACAGACTTTTGAGAAAATTTAATTATAAATATTTTTACTAATTTTGTGTATTAGTTTATTTTTTAAGTATTTATTTTACTAAACTTAGGACGAACCACTACCACTAGGTACGAACATTAACACAAATATACAGGCCACAAATAAGTACCATATGTTTTTATACACTCAGATGGAAAAAAACGCAAGGGAGAAATTTTTCAAATTTAAAAATGTTATATTTCTGTGAATTTATTAGCAAGCTGTATACAGGTTGTTGCCTCGAGTAATAAACAAATTAACAACCTGTATAATTGTTTCAACTTTAATTCGTAAACTCAGTTTTTTATAAACTTTAGTATTTGGAATATTATACAGAGTCAATCAAGGGGTCGTTTTTCTACCTCAAATTTAAAACACCCTGTGCAATAATTTCGTGTATAAATTTTCCTAAAAAATAATTTTACGGTCAGAACCATGTCTCCTGAGCATTTTGCAATTTTTTCAATTATTATTTCTTTTTGAAGTTATTTTTCAATATGACAAGGCGGCTTTGGCGATTATATCGTCCTTTGGGAAATGCTTAGCAGGAGTGTTAGAGAAGTACCATGTTTCATGTCCTGAAAGGCGCCGCACTCGCATTTGTCCTCATTTATGTCCAGCAAACCCCATTTGATTGTATTTTACTGGAGCCACCCCAGTTCTGATACGGTTGAGCATTCTCCAGGTTTTCCAGTCGCTAGAAACACCATTTGGTGGGTCCTCTCTAAGTGGGTAGTGGGAGAGAGGTTAATCCAAGGGGTGGCTTAGTGAAGTATTATCATGAAAAAGGTGATCGAAATTCGAAAAAGCAAATGTGTTTAATATTTCCCAAAAAAAGATAAATGATAAGTTAAATCATGTCTGCCATGAATGGCGTTGCTACGGGCGTGTTTAGTTGCATTCATTTGTTTCAACGAAACGTTAAAGTGGTTACTTGTCACAGATATGAGGTAAATGGCTAAATTTTATGTTTAAAATTATAAATTGTTGTTGTTCTTGTGCTCCTTTTACGTTTATATTATTGTTTTGATTTAAAATGGCTCAGCTCAATCTTGGGTCGTTTATTTTAGTCATCATTTACCTACATGTCTAGAAGTGAATCGCTATGGCAATCTTGTAAGTCGGGGAGAGAAAATTATTACCTATCCACTTAATCCGGAGCTCAACTTCATACGCTTGGGAAAATTCTTGCTCTTTTCTCTTTGTTCATTTATACAATCACAGAGTCTATAGACTCTGTGCACGACAATCGGCACCCAAAGCCGTGTGTACATTATCGGTTATATCATTAAATAAACTAACCAAAAAATATGCTGTATTACGTAGTAAATAGTGCAAATTCTATTGTCGACCATTCTAATCAGTATTAAATAATAATGGAGTGAGCCAGTGTGAAGTGAGACATTAAATGATTGATCTTTTTGTTAAATTACGTGGTATAACTTAACACAATGATGAATCGTTTAATGTTTCATATGCACCTCCATAGTTATTTAATCTGTAATCATACTGACTACATTGTTCGACAACAGAATTTGCGCTTTTAGTACGTTTTGGAATTAATAGATTATCTGTCTTATTATGCAACTAGGGATGTACGTGTCTACGTAATAGAGCATCAGCATCTCTCTCAATATATCGTATTGTACTGAACACGTTGACACACGAGAATCAGCAACCAAAGCCGTGTGTACGCTTCATTAAATAAACTAACCAAAAAATATGCTCTATTACGTAGTTGCGTACATCCTCAGTTACATAATAGGACCGATAATCAATTAATTACATAATGTTGTAAATATCACAAATTCTATTGTCGACCGATCCGGATTAAGTGGATAGTTAATAAACTTCTCATTTTTCTCCCGTATTTTATAGTCTTTTCTCTTTCAGTATATCGTATTGTACTGAACAAACGTTGACTTTATTCTTCATACACACGACAATCGGCATACAAAGCCGTACGTTGTACGTTTTATTAAATAAATTAACCTTTTTGTTTATTTATTGGTTCGTTTATGCTTTATTTAATGATTGATATTATTTTGTTATGTTATACCACCAAGTGCTATAAACTAGTACAAAATTAAAAAAGTTAATTTGAAGTAAAGTTCTTTGAAATATATCTATATTACTATAATGAGTGAGAACTCTTATCGATTTTTAATTTGGAATTATATTAATTGCCATGTGTCATGTTTTTATTATTATTGTCAATTTTCTGCGGATAGCTGATAAATTAATCTATTGTCAATTCAATATGATTATAATATGATGTTCAAATACCATTTTGTTATTCATAAAAACGGCCTTTTTATTACTTCTCTGTCATACTGATCCATCAATAAATATTTCTTACGTGTTGCAGCAGACGAGCAAAATTTATTAATTTTAGGGTCCTTTATATTTACTCATCCCTGATTCCATCCAATTATGGCCGCTGATGAAACGGGAGGTAGACGTTCGCTTTCGGTCATAGGCGTACTGAAAACTAAAATTTCTTATCCTCGTATTCAGAATTATAAATAGCAATAAAAAGGATAAAGATAAGTAAAACTTTATACTGATAAGTTTGCTGTACCAATATTAAAAAAATTGGTAGTAGGAAATATTATTTCATAATATTATGACATGATAATGTTATAATGTAATACTATAAAGTAAAGTAAAAGTTAACGTCTCCTTTTTGCTGCCACACAGCGGTCCTCGGTCAATGACCGAGCAAGTGTCTAAATCGACTCTTACTCACGAGATATCCGATCTCATCCGGCCTCGAACCGGCGTGAATGAGCAGTGTGTGTCAATATATTTTACACTTTTGCCTTTATTGGACAACAGCACGATACAGAGTTTCGAACTGGTCACCCGTCTATCAACTAGTATCGCCTTACGTTGCTTAACTTCGGTGTTCTAATGGGAACCGGTGTTTCGACGTAGCTGGACCGTTGGTTGCCCGTAATACTATAGCTACAACCGTTATAACACTAGTTATACCACCCCGCATAAATTCAGTATTATTATAAATAAGTAATTTATTTCACACCCCTTAAAGTGTAGCACAATTAGAATCATAAATACGATGCCCACTTAACAGTTATATAATGTTTATAATGTTAATTTTAAAGGTCGTTTTACATAAAAATTGTTTATCTGTTTTTATTTATGATACAAAACCCGCTTGATCATAAAACTTTTTGATCATGTCGATGAGTTTTTTTTATATTGAGTATGTATGGGGCTTAAGAAGCAGCGTGGTGAAGGCGTTCCACTGTTCGCATCTTAAACATTGTCAGCTGTCATAAAAAAATATTATTAAAATTCTAATAAATTAAATTTTACAGAATTCATAAGCAAAACTTTTAAACTAAAATTGGCTGTAATACTAAATCTAAATGGAAATAAAATATTAGTACGCCTATGACTAAAGAGTTTGGTTTAGTTTGGGGGCGACACGTGCGAAGAGATATGCATGGCTTCCACATTTCGAGAGGCGGGGTGAGACCAATCAGCTAAGACAAATCAAGTGGTGGGAAAGAATATGGCCGTAGATGCCAGGTCTAGGAAATATTCCCTAACATTAAGGTTTCTATCCAGGAAATACATTTTTAGAAAGCATATTTTTGGACACAATTTAGTGTGTGTATTTAATTTGTTTTCTCAAACTTGGCATTTCTAAAAGTATCATCAGATAAATATTTTAAAAGAATATTTTTTGTTGGTAGATTGACCGTGCCAACCAGGCTTCAGGAAATTTTCAAAACTTCATCTGGCAACACTGACAGTATCGAAGTCCTAGAACGGTAGACATACTTTGACACATTTATCAAATCAGTCGGATTTTGAAAGGGGTTGGGTGTACATCATTCTACAATATATTTACGATTTTGAAGGTTATCCATACATCTCGAGACGTTTAATCTTTTAACAATAAAAATAATTAAACGTCCGGTTGTATCTACACTGCTCATGTTTTTGTTGCTGTTTCAGCATAAGTTAAAACAAGCATTAAAAAAATGACTAAAAATCAACTTTAATAAAGGACAATTAGCAAAATAATTATAAAAAATTAAATCAAAGGTTCAAAAATACCTCCCTGTTGTGCTTCGCAATAGCCAAGACGGTTATAAAACTCTGACCTAACTTTAGCTAACATAACAGCGGGGATATTTTCTATAATCAGGAGAACGTGGTGGCCAATTAATTGTGCCTTGTGTGAAAATTAGCCGATTGGGAAATGTGCTTTGAAGGAACAGATTTACGTTCCGCGCGTTATGCGCAGGACAGCCATCCTGCTGAAACCACACTTCCTCAAAATTGATTGGCAAATTTCGAACTGCTGGTACAATTTGGTTTTGTAGCATATTCAAATATTTGGCAGCTGTTAACATACCATCAATAAAAAAAGGCCCAATGATATGATTTTGCAGCATGCCAGCCCAAACATTTAGTTTTTGTGGATATTGTGTCCGCAGTGCCATACTAAGGTGCTTATTTTCTCGAGACCAATAACGTACTATCGAGGATTGTGGTAGCCATGTAAGGGAAACGAGCTTTCATCTGAGAATAATATATTTTCCAAAAATAAATTATTCCGATCGGCTCTTTCTCTTACAGCCTCGCAAAACTCCAGACGTCTGTTACAATCTGCGGGAAAAATTTATTGCGTGGTACTGATTTTGTAGGACTTTTTTTTGTAGGATTTTGTAGGACTGATTTTGTAGGATTTTTGTAGGCTTTTTTAAAACCCTGCGCACCGTTCGAGCATTGCAACCAACTTGTTCGGCTATATTTCGGCTTGAACAAGGTTCGCTTGTTTCGGCCGCGGCACAAATATTAATTTCCTTGTCGGGAATCACCTTCTCTGCGCCTTCCTTATTGTCACAATTTCTGCA